GCCTAGAAGCATACACATTAAGAAGTGAGCTTTTGCTCTCAGTGTCTTCTCAAATTCAAGGCTGCTTGCTGTCAATGGCAAAGCCTCTTTTACCCAGCTTCTCACAGTATTGTATATTACCACAATGCAGAAGTGCAATTTTAGAACTGCCATAATCTTATTTTTCACACTGAAGGCCACACAAAGCAGCACAGTTAAATGAATTTGATTAATTGCAGAATGGATAAATTGCACTTCAAGAGCCTTAAATAGAACCATTTTATACATCTGCCTCATGGTACTCTTCCATAAAATACATTTTGAGTCAGTCAACTACAGTCAGTGCAGACACAGTATTCTTATTTACTTTTACTATTTTGTGTTAAGTAGTAGGCATTCAATGTAAAACCATTTATAATTAGATATGAAAGTACTTGCTAACATATCATTGATTACAATACGACATTCATAGATGTTAATTTAGAATCGATATTTTTTTTCTTTAGAGTAAAAAGGTGAATATGAGTGTGCATGAGTGTGCAGAAGACCAACTACACCTGTTCTAAGCTTCCCTTTAACAATAGAATTGCAACACCAGCAAGGGGACAGGATATTCAAAAGCCAGGGGAACAAAAAAATGTGGTTATATCTGTACTACATATCCTCAATTCTTAACTAGTATAAACCAAAGATCTGAGATGCCTCTGTTCAGAGAGAAGGTAACTCAGATACTCCATACTGTGTCCCCATGTATTCTCTCTAGCTTTTTTTCCAATCACCTCTGGAAAATTTTGAAGTAGGTGTCTTTGTTCTTGTGTTGAACCTTATATAAAGGCCTTATCTATTTGTGCTTAAGAAAACCAATCTACCACATATTATCAAGCAGTGGATTGATGACTACACACAAAGGACTCCCACCTTTAGAAACCAGGACAAACAATTTGATAGGCATGCAGAAGGCTGACTGAAAAAAAGACATGCCTACCTCCTTACTTGTCAAGTCAGAGGCATAACAGACAATGTCTCACAGACTTGCCTGTCTACTAATGCCTCACTTTTATCTAGGTGATTTTTCTTTTATATAAGACTAAGGCAGAAAAAAAAAAAAAAAATTCACAACACAAAGATGTGGGAAGTTCAGGAGAAAAACAGTTACTGTTTCCAGAATTATGCTTCTCCTTCTCCCAGTTAGAGGGAGTGGAGTAATACAAACTGCTAAGAGACTGACAGGCTACATTCTGGGCCCATATCTCTCAGAGGCTTTGGGAAGTGTGATACCCCAGGAACTTTTCACTACTGAAGTAACTTTTGCATTGTCAAACCACTGGGAAAAACCCAGCTACAGTATAAACTGGAACGAAGGTACATAGTATCCACATGCTGTCACATGGTAATTCATTCTTCAGACCACCAGAACAGCACTGCTCACACTGTCAGGGTCTTAAAGGTGAAAATGGTTTACATATGAAGGCCTATTCTGGACAGTGGGCAAAGAGTTAGGAAAGAACTAGAACATAAAAAAAACCCAAAAATCTACTCCTGCTCCAACCTGGAGTACACAGACCTTCTATTGGCTCCAGGAAGACCTTAGAGCAGCCTTCCAGTACCTAAAAGGGGACCTATAAGAAAGCTGGGGAGGGACTTTGCATATTGCAATAGGACAAGGAGTAACTCTTTTATCTAGGTGATTTTTCTTTTATATAAGACTAAGGCAGAAAAAAAAAAAAAAAAATTCACAACACAAAGATGTGGGAAGTTCAGGAGAAAAACAGTTACTGTTTCCAGAATTATGCTTCTCCTTCTCCCAGTTAGAGGGAGTGGAGTAATACAAACTGCTAAGAGACTGACAGGCTACATTCTGGGCCCATATCTCTCAGAGGCTTTGGGAAGTGTGATACCCCAGGAACTTTTCACTACTGAAGTAACTTTTGCATTGTCAAACCACTGGGAAAAACCCAGCTACAGTATAAACTGGAACGAAGGTACATAGTATCCACATGCTGTCACATGGTAATTCATTCTTCAGACCACCAGAACAGCACTGCTCACACTGTCAGGGTCTTAAAGGTGAAAATGGTTTACATATGAAGGCCTATTCTGGACAGTGGGCAAAGAGTTAGGAAAGAACTAGAACATAAAAAAAACCCAAAAATCTACTCCTGCTCCAACCTGGAGTACACAGACCTTCTATTGGCTCCAGGAAGACCTTAGAGCAGCCTTCCAGTACCTAAAAGGGGACCTATAAGAAAGCTGGGGAGGGACTTTGCATATTGCAATAGGACAAGGAGTAATGGCTTTCAAGTGGAAGAGGGTAGATTAAGGTACACATTAGGAAAAAATCCTTCACTGTAAGGGTGGTGGGACACTGGCTGCCCAGAGAAGCTTTGGATGCCCACCTCCCTGGAAATGTTCAAGACCAGATTGGATGGGGCTTTGAGCATTTCTCCTCTGTTTCTCCTATCCTGCCTTAACACCTACTGTAAAACAAGAGTTTCAGAAGGATCAAATACAGCAGTTATAAAGTAAGTAAATAGTCATTCTGTGTTCCGGGTATTTTCATGGATACCTGAGCTGAAGTTTTCAAAGCCACAGATTAGCCTAAAATCTTAGTAATTAAGGCATTCAGAGAAGACTATTTATCATGCTTGTTGCTTCATCTTATTTACCACTCAGGATTTGTACAAGTTCTGAATACAGTAAGACTAAGGCAACAACACTGAGGACAGAGGTATTGTCTTCATTTGAGAAACCACAGACAACAGCACACTGAAGTTATTTAACATAGTGGAAGTCACATATTTCCAGGTTCAGCTAGTTTTAAGGACAGAAATATATTGTGATACTCAGCTGAATGGTGCCTACTACCAATCTGTGCTCAAAAATAAACAAGCATATAACACTGGAAGTAGGGAATATTAGCAATAAATTAAAATACTTCCAAACTTTATTGTTTTAAACACAGCTTACATTTCAGACATCAATAAATTAATTCAACATAAAATATTGCATTTTAGATGCCTATACATGTTTACTAATAGTTAGAAAAAACATACTTGAGTAACTAGAAAAAAACTGGGGATATTGTCCCAACTAATAAGTTTCTTCTTAATGTTAGTCCCATGGAGGTTAAAAACACTACATATGCTCTGCAGCAATGCAATTGAATAAGAGATTAATCTATCCTTCCATAATTAAGGGAAACAAGTTTACAAGCTGACATGTTATTACAGGCTAAGCAAAGGTCTGGATCTTTTTTGACTAGCACATGATCAAGATATCAGCAATATAGCCCAAATGATTTAGTGACCCATGTCAGACACAAAAGGCTTAAAGTAATAAAATGTATTATATCTACTAGCTGATCTACCAAATTGCTCTCTTTCCTAACTGCACAGAGCCTGACAACCACCAAGCTGTCAATGTTCAGACACTTACATTTAAGAATCTGTACTAAATTGCCTCCCCTAATCCTGCTGTAACTTACAGCATCTTAAGTCACTACTATAGAGACAGAAAATTATTAGCTATGCCTGTTACTCAATTACATTTGCTTAATAGTCTAAAGGAAGTATTTGGAGGGTACTTTACCCTCTTACCCAGCTACGGCTAAAACACTCTTCCTCTATTCTTGTCCTATGATAATTTTATCCATTTAAGCTTTGCCTGACAAGCTACCACAAAACATCTCCTTGGCTAGCAATGCTTCAAAATAATATTACATAAGCTATTGTTACAGAACCACTTAGAATTTGATAGCAAAGCTACATGGAAACAACTTTACCATGTTAGAGCCAGCCTGCAATGGGACAAGATGTTAGTTTAGCAAGGACACAAACTTTAAGATTAGAACTTATCTAGAAAACACTGACATCTGAGATGTTTTAAAGTTTTGTCTGCAGTTAGCTTAATATCTAAATCTTCATCTTTGCTGCAAAACTTCACCTTGATGACAAGTTAATACACGTAGCATTACAAACAAGCTGATTATTCTGTGACTGAAGAAATAACGGATTGGAAAAGCAAGTGATCACATGAACATCAGATGTTGGCCAAAGCCAGTAAGCTGAAGTAGCTCCTCTCTTTTGCACATAAAAGCAAGAGTAAAACAGTTGAACTAACATAACCTTAATTATATGATTTACAATTCCTTTCAGAATGGACACTTCTGAATCATTCTAAGCTACAGCAAGAACTGCAGTAGTTCAGTTGCATGCCTAGAACTAAGAAGAACATTCCAAAGGCTTTAGAAATCAAGTCTCTAAACACTTTCAAACTCTTTGCTTTTAACATTTTAGCTATTCTTGATTTCAGACACATCACATAAGATACTGCAGATTCTTCATACCTAAAACTGAACATTGACAGGCCTTAATATTTACCCTTACTCTAACTCTGGGAATACAGAACTGGGAAGCAATGCTCTGTTAAAGACATTTTTATTTATGGAATTAAAAGCCTTTTGTAAAAAGAGACAGTTATGATCAAGAATATGTTGCATTCTTCTTTACAAATCAAGTCATTATGTCAAACTTTTTATTGAAAAGCTTAGCAGGTAAGAACATCAATGTAAAAATCTATAGAAAAGGTTATATTCAGCATTATAGATTGACTAGACCAAGTCTAGGTTATGCCATAGTTCAATGATTAAGAAAAAGTAGTATTTGGTTCTCCACTGCTGTATGAAGAGGCTGAGGCCTAAAACCAGAAGCCAGTGAATGTGTGTTACAAGCCACAAGGAATAAGACTTCCCCTTGCAGAAACACATTTAACTTAAGTCTGATCTGTGCTAAAGTACTGAAACAGTGATTCTTAAATCTGCAGTAAAAAAATTATTCCTTTCATTTCAAAAGCTTACAAGTAGTGTTTCAAAACATGAAAAGCCATAGCTAGAAAATTGTTGAAGCTACTTACTTACATGATTACAGTTTTCCATTCAGGTATATATAGCCTGTGATCACTTGCAGTGATAACTGTTAAGTACCATGAATGTAAAGACCTGAAACATTTGCATAACAACTTACTGTGTAAGTGATAGCTGCCAACATTCCAATCACAGTCAAGGAACTTATGGAAAATGAAAGAGCAGTCAAGCCATCTGGAATTTAAAAAAAAGAAAGCCTGTTGAAAATTCATACAGTAAAGTTATATGAACATTTCTTCCTGAACTGGTTTCCTGAAGATATTTTTAAGTCCATTAGATTGAAGAAAACACCCCAAATATATATATATATATATGAGATATAGTTACCAGCTGCAACAACTCGCATGAAAAATTCACCTATCATAGCTTTTTGTCGGCAGTAGGTCCTCCTCCAATACTGCAAGAAACAAGACAGCCATCTCTCCTTTGCTGTAAGTTCACAGATGTTGCAGTCAGTCAAATGGTTGAACAGCCACATATTAACCTGCTCCCATAGCTGTCTAACGCCTCTTCAAGACTTATTTCTGGCCTCTACAGGGTGCTGTGGTACTTGCCACAGTTTCTGCATACATTTTAGATAGTTAATCTTTATTTTGTGTATCACCTAATTTCTCATAATAAAGCACTATCCAGACAATCAGGCAAGAATGGATCCTTCAAAGAACCAAACAAGCCAGACTGCAGGCATCTGCTTCACTCAGAACAAGTACATCCAGATGTACAAACTGGGACAAGGTCAGAGGACTAAGGAGTTACTGTAGCCTTACTATCACTCTAGAAATGAAACCAAAGATTTTATTTTTTGTCTGACTTATTGCAGATTTAGCAGAGGTAAGCAGTTAATCAAACTAAAAAACTGTCACCAAGAAAGTTAGTGTTCTTGTTCAGTTCATTAAGGGGTATGACAAATAAGTTCGTAGCAACTCATGCGAAGCTCAGAACAGATCTCCAACTTACGGCTGCTTCCAAATTCTTCAAACAGGAGCTTCACTTTCTCCCATTCTGTGGAATTACTCTTGTTGGGAATATCCAAAGGAACAAAAGCACTGCAACAAAGCACAAAAGTGATCTTACTTACCCTAATCAGTCAAACTTAAAAATAATTCTACTTTCAAGTTAAGAAAATAGAAATCCATTTATTCCTGAAGAAAAATTGTATGACATCAGGTTTAAAAATTTATTTGATTTCTTTCACATTCCCCTCAAATGCTCTATTTAGGTCAGCAGAGGACATGTGTGAGTGTGTGCAGAGTCAGGTCTGAGGTCAATGAACAAGTGATTTTCTATTTAGCAGTCCTACCAGAGATAAGGACCCTACACTCAAGCATTGTTAAAAGATTTAATAATTTGATTTACTATGCTGGTTTTACTGATGTGCAGATGAGTTCAAAAACTTTAAGCATCAATTAAGGCAAATCCTCTTATATATTCACACTTCCAGAAACTAGAATAAAATAAATAATTATTCCCGTATTAAAGTTTAAAGGGACATGTTTATCTTCTGTTACTATAATAGCATATCTGCTGCATTCCATTCCTTGTTCTGTAGATGGCCCAGAGAACTGAAATGCATAGAAGTTCATTAAATATTTTTGACCTTCCAATACGCAGCAACTAACTAGCAGAGTGCTCAGAAGAGTATCAGACAGAACAGTCCCTTAGCTGAAAGCTTCCTGCTGTCAGTCTCTATCTGAAGTCCGAGAAGAGTAACTCTTCAGCACCTTCACAGACAAAACTCTTAGTTTTGGACAGGTGGAAAACCAGTACCTTTATACCAGTTTGAAGCCATAGCTTCCAAATATAAAACAGAATGGCTACAAGTCACACACAAGTCAGATTTGGAGAGAAACATTTTAGTTAAAGGATGTGATAAACCAGACCAAAGTCCATAAAGACTGTTCACAAGTATCTTCTGGACACTTGTAAGAAAGAATACATAATTAGATCCGTTTCAAGTCCAAATAAATAACAAATACACATCTTCCAGGAGTACACCTTATATTACAAATGCAGCACATAAGCGTGTGTTTCAAAGGCTAGTGCTTAAAACTGTGTGCACTTACCACATCAAACCCAAACCTGTACTTGGCAAACAAAGTTAAATTTTAAAAATAAAAATTTTAACTTAAAAATGTTCGACTTAGCTTCTTGACTGTGCAAGAAGTAGGTTAAGGACAGCATTTACTTAAGTCATGCATGCTAACTAACACTAGGCTTTGCTCTTGCATGTGACTCTAGTAGTAATTCTTCCTGTAAAACAGCATCCAGGCAAGATCAAGACACAGGTATTAAAACAAAGTCAAGCAAAATTTCTACTTAGAAGAAATAGCAACACAAATAACTGCAGGATTATTTACTACAGAGGACTAAAATAAGAGACTCTGAGATACTAAGTGAGCTCAAGTTCTTTTATTTTGGTATCAATATAAATTTGTGGACCACATGCAGGGAACAAATTAGATGGAATAACAACTTCGGATATTTTTAACTTGCTTGCCCGTTTTCCCCTCCTCCAAGAGCAATATGGATTTATTTTTTTTTTTCTGATAACAATACTACAACTGATGCTACAACCAGCATATCAAGGGACACTAATCAGAGCAACCAGAAGCCACAGTACCAACTACACACACTCCTCAATTAGTACTCAGCAAAATCTTGACTGAAGAATATGGACATCTGATTCTGCTCCTGCTCAAGTTCCATGCAATAAGGAACTCAAAGGAATATAGGAACTATACATTCACATACCTTAGTCCCAAGCAAGCAGGAATTTTATTTCCCTTAGTGACCAAAGCCCCTCAAATAATAGCAAACTAGCCAGAAGGCTAGCTAGCCCACCTGAACAGACTTTTGGCTTCTAGCTTAACAGGCCACAAGAACAAGGCAGAGTTAATGTCCATAGCCATCTACAGACTTGCATCCAGTCCACACTCCCAAAGAATTTCTAAAACACGGCTCTTCCATTGCACCAGCACAGTACACAGCACTCCAAGCTTATTATTTACACAGAGTAATCAGGAAGAAATTTGGCAAAAGCTTTGGTTATTTTGCTGTGTTGACTAACTGGTCAATGCAGCTTGAGGGCCATCACAGCTATCAACAGAATGAGAAGTTTCCATGCTTAGTAACTCTATTCACCTATCATCGCTGTCATGAAACACAAATCAGTCCGCTGATAGCGAGTGAGTAGAGTGCAAGTGCCAGTGCAAGGTTTTACAGATGTAGCTGAGACCTGAGTTGGTGCAAGCAAATAGAGCAGCTCAGCTATGATGTGATGTCTTACACTTGGGAGTTCTAGACAAATGAAATTACTAACTGCAGAAATTTTAAGAGTAGAAGCAAACTGCTATGCTGTTTAAAACACATCCTGGGAATATTACGATTAAGATCTAGATCAATATCTCTGCTGCAGAACAAGGAAATTAAATGCAAGACAAGCAGTTTTAAACTATTACATTTTGGCATGGTACACAGGTGTAGAAGGGTGAAGTTTGAACTTCAAATCAAAGAGTGCCATTAACTGTTATCTTTGGGAAAATAATTCCTAACACACAAGCTTTAAACTAATTTCCTTAAAGTGAGTTCTGCTATAAAATAATTTGCATAATCATTTATAGACTCATTAGACATATTCATAGCTTTTTAAACACCGATGGTTCTAGAAAATTTAAAGTACCCAGTTTAATTCCAAACTCTGTCAGGGAAACACTCCTTTTAGAACCAAACATTCATAAGCCTCAAAAGCCACTATTTTAGTTCAAACCAGAATGCTCTATAAAAGTCCCCTACTGCAGACTAGAGTATGTGAAGCCCCTTAACTCCAGCACATGATATTTAGAGTAACCTACATTCAAGGAAAGTAGATAATTTATAAAAAGGAAAAGGCATTGCAAGTAAATACTAGTTCCAAGTGTCCCAGTATAAATTTGCCCTATACTCTGCTTTTAATGTTACACTGCATCAAGTTATCTGTCTGCAGAGCATTTAAGTGCTATTACACGCATGCATTTTGCCACAGCAAGAGGCTTTGTAACACAAATAATATGAGGCACAAATACTACTGCTAGAAATTTAGGCAATGGAGTGCTACCTTGAGATGTTATGAACTTAGAAAAAAACCTTCAATATAATCTGGCACAAAAGAGTTACTATGCTTCCTCAAATAGTCACAAAGATTTCTAACTGAGCAAGGTAAACATCCAGGTAAGAATAAGATATCCCTAAACTTCAAATTTAATCCAGCTTTTCTGGTTTCTTTGAGGATTGCTGGCAAGGAAAGATATAAGGACTTCTTGTGTAGACCTATCTCTGAAGAACAGGTTTTAATTATACAGATTACTTACTAAATCAGAACAGGGCTTGTATTGGTATGATAGAGCAGTCACGTAGGCACAAAACTATTTACTAGGAAGTTAACAGGAAAACACTGTTGAGTAACAAAGTTCCAGCCCAAGTACTAAAGCTTTCTGTTTTGCAAGGAAATCTCACTGTCATACACCACAGTACCAGAGGGGATTGTGGAAGCTGCTGTAATTTACAAGTTGTGAAGACTTCAAAGAACAAGACCAAGGGCAGAGAAGACAACTAGGAAGTCAAGAACCAAGTTCCATCATACTGGAAGAAAGGAACAAACATGCTTTCAGCTAATGAGGATTCAGCCAACACCTACTAGAGGTACTACAAAATTTTTAAACTGGATATATTATGCAGTACTGAATTTTTAATACTGTTTGGAGTGTCAGAATAACAGCCCTTGCTGCAGAAATGTCACCTACGTCAGCATGTCAGCACCTAGCCATCATGTCCTTGATGGGTGTTAACACTGGACAAACTGGCAGAACTTAGAGGCACAATCACACTTCAAAAAAACATTTTAGTTTCCAGTTAAACTCTATTTTTCAGGAATCTAATTCTCGGGATAAGCCCTATTAGAGATTAAACTAGATATTCATCATACAGATTGAGTGCAACACAAGTCTACCTTTTTAGTCTTGCACAGAAGAAAATTCAATCTGGGTTTCTATTAAGTATATCCCCATTAATGTCCAATACATAAGTACTCACCCAATTAAGAGAAGAACTGCACAAATTGTGACGAATCCCAGAGTATATTTGAGTGCAGTTTTAACCTGCTGCATATATCAAAGAGAAAGTTAAAATATTAATGTAAAATAAATCCAAAGGGATTTGTCCAACAAGTTATTGCAAAGCACACTTAGCCTAACAGGTGTTCTATAAAAGGACCTCCACAGAAAATATGAGCAGTTTTAGATACAAGTCAGAAGTACACACTGTTGAAGAGTCTCAGTGCTTGAGAACTATGAACAATGAAACTGAATTATACTTCCATCATAAACAATGCACTTGAGCAGCTGTGGCCAGAGCCAGGGTACATGTTATCACTGCAAATACACTCTAACAAAATGTTTATTACCAATGCTTTGTATTACGGCTATGATTAAAAGTCTTATTCCTGATGTTAAGGTTACAACTGAATAGAGAGTAAAATTATCATGATCAATGATTAAAAGATTCTTGAAAAAAGTGCTGTCATTTGAGAAGACAGCATCTTACTGACATGCATTTATTGTATTCCCTGGAATGTCATGCATGTCAAAAACCTTCAATGCATTACAAAAACTGCCAATTGTTAGCTTCCGGTAAATTGCTACTGCCTACTTCAAGAAAAATGCAAACACTGCAAGAAGTAAAGTACTCAAATTTAATGTCTATTTTGGAATCAGTATAATCTTCCAGTTCACTTTAAAACCTGTTCATACCTGTTTTCTATTATAAGGAAAATCTCTTGCAAGAAGTTTTAACTTTCCGTATATGAAATCAGGCTCAAAGGAATTTATAGGAAGCTTAAAAAATTCATGGCTATTCTGATATTAATTACTTAGTTCACTTAAGTTTCATTTCATGTGAGACCACTGTGCTTAAAGTAGACTTGTCAGACTTATTAAGAACTGTCTCAGTATTTAAAGGAATTGTAGTAATAGAATTGAATACTACAATTTTAATAGCTTTTTCAAATTAAACAACAATTCTTGCTTTTGCTTTTTACTGTGTTCATTTGTCTTTTGATTGCTTGGTGAATTTGCTGGAGTGAACTTACTGAGCATGTGTTGCCATCATCTTCTTCCTTCTCCTCATAATAGAAATAGACAAAGGGAATCCACAGAAACACGCAGAACAGTATGATGGAGTACAAAGCTAGGAGAAATAATTTCATTAAATGAAGACACAAATTTACATTGGCATTTAATTTACTGCATAATAATTAAAATTAAAGAATCAAATATTAGTTCTCTTGTTCTCACTCTTGCTACTTTCAAGCACTGTTATAATTGCTCACTAGCCAGCATGTGAATTATTACCATTTTGTTAACTCCAAGGGATTTATAGAATTCATGCTTTCATACTAGCCTTTAATTCAGCAATGATAAAGAGACTAAAAGTAATTATCTGCTTGCAGATGATATACAGCACTAGTACATGGGGAAAGAGGAAGCAGAGAAGATAGTGAGTAAAAGTAAGCTATGCCATTTGACAACAGAAGATGTTCATATTAGAGGTATATACATAAATATAACAAATGTAAAGCTATTTTGATCACTGGATTCCATTTCAGAGGATGTTCTACTAGTAATGTATGTAAGATGATAAATGGAAGGCATGGTTCTTTTATCAATAACCTCAACTTACAAAATAGAACAAGCTGTTTCAATATAGTGTCATTCCTTAACATTTTTTTTAAAAGGAGGGTGTAATTGGAGATGGCAACACTTACCTGAGCAGCCACTACATGAAAACAGTCATACAGTCACATGACTTTGATGCACAGGTGATCTTAAGAGATTCTAAACCAGTTTAACATAAGTGAACGGTTAAACCAATGTGCAAGACTTTACACATACTAATTGGCAAGTTTGAAAACATTAAGAAAGCTAATCAAAATCAACTGGACCGATTAGTCAGTAATATGCAGGTAGAAGACCAATTTTGGCTCAAGAATTTCACTTTTACATCTTCAGTTCTATGTATTACAAGTTACATGCTTTTTAGGACACCATGACTTAGAAAAATCCTTCCAATACTTAAAAAAAAATGACACTGTGAAGACTCTTATTTTACAAGGAGTCACATGGAGAAGACAAGCAGTAATGGGCACAAGTTACTCTGGGGAGATTCTGATTGAATTCTAGAAGAAGATTTTTCACAATGAGAAGAGTTATACACTGGAATAATCTTCCAGAGAAATTGGTGGATTGCCCTAAAAAGGTCAGTTTCAAGACTCAGCTTGACAGAGTGCTGAGCCATTTCATTTAAACTATAGTATTACCTAGAAAGGTTGGACCAGATGATCAAAACTTATCTAAGAGCTGATTAGCAAGCTACAAGAAATACCTACCTAGCCAGTCCTGCAATATCTATAAATGCATATTAAAAAGATTGATTCCCGTGGTTTAGTCTCATTCCAGATCATATAAATTCATGCCTTTCACAGAATTTCATCATGAAAAAAGACAACTGTCTATTAAATTACTGGAATATTCTAATAAGGTACAGCTCTGTCAGCCCTTGCTAATAAAACATCCTTCTATGTCTGCAATTCTGAATATAAATTTTAAAAAACAACAACAATCCTTTAAAAATCAGTGCTGAATGTAAAAGTGGAGTTGAACCAATGGTTCATCAAGCTCCTCTCAGTGGTGGCAAAAGGAGGAGATATTTAGGGAAAGCATGCAGGCCTGGTCACTTCCTGCAGCTTCAGGACTTTAGGACTACCCAGACAGCCAGCACTAAAGCATTGTGGCCTATTCCCTTTTTCTAATCAAAAAGAGTCCATTTGAAGCAGGCAAATGACATCAAAAAGCTAGCAGCAAGGTGCTGTTGTACTGTCAAGCAGCTACAGTTCACTTACAGCAACAGTAAGTGTAACTGGATATTAGAGATTCATCTGATCTTGTTTGATCAGCCATTTCTGTGGAAAAGCTTTCAGTTTTCATCCTCATCTAAGAAATAAGATTAGCTTAGATTTTTCTTTACCACACTGGGCTTGGTCTTCAGCTAAACTAAATTTCTTAAGCGAAACTCAGCATGTGAAGTTGTATCACAGTAATAGATTCAAGTCTCCTCTGTTCCAGGATCCATTCTTGACTCCAAAGGCATAGGCAAAAGCCACACTACAGAGCCAGATTAACTTGGAAACACAAAGATTAAATACATGGGTCTTACCTGTGAGCTCATGACTGTGTAGAGTGTAGCTAAAATATTCACACAACTATTTACTTCTAACCATGAACACTCCAGAAGACCCACAATGCACTTTAGCATTCCACACCAATAACAAAAGAAAAATCAGAACTTCTTTTACTTGACCACAGCAGTCAGATGCTGAAATGCCTTCTTCAGTGAGCATTAAGAGGTGAGTTATATCTAAGCCAAGGAAAGGTCCCCCCTTCCTCCCTCGCCACCATCCATCATTAGAACTCTTCACATCACCTCCAGTGTTTGCCAAAACTTTCCTGGATCACCTTAATGCATCACGCTGGCAGAAAAGAATCACAAATCTAGCAATCTTGCAGCACAGGCAGCCAACAGCAACTTGTGCTTCATTAGGAAGAGCATCATCACCAGATGGAAGAAGGTAGCTATTCCCCTTGACTCAATGTAATGTCACCAGCACTTCAGAACTGGGAGTGAAGTGTCCAGTTCTTAGCTCCCCAGTACAAGAGTAACACATCGGAGAGTCCAGCAGAGAGCAACAACAATTAAGGGCTTAGGGCATCTGAGAGATGCTGAAACTGCTCAGCCTGAAGAAAAGGAGGCTTTAGGAGGATCTTATCCACGTGTGTAATACTTCTGTGGGACTGAAGACTGTAGCAGACTCCTCAGTGGTGCTCAGGGAAGGCATAAAAAGGAATGAGCACAAATAGAAATACAGAAATTTCCATTTAAACAAGAAGTTTTATTTTGCCTGTAGTCAAACTGGAACAGGCTACTCAAAGACAGAAGATTCTCCAACTTTGGAGACATTCAGAATTCAGCTGGATACTGGCATAAATGAGTTGATGTGAATAGGGAGTATATTGAACTAGATTATTTCTGGAGTGCACTTTCCAACCTCTGCACTTGTACAAGTCAAAGTGAATTTCTACCAATTTTGATATTTGGCTTAGAGCATAACAAGCATCCACCAAATGCTAACAATGGCCCAAGCAAGGGGAAAAAGAGTACACTAGCATGCTACTGGAAACAGGACCCCTTCCAGCACAAATAGTGCACTTCCACTTCAAGATAGCATCTAGCTGTAATACTTAAGCAATACTTCTCACACTATTTAAGCTACAGACCAGTTGAGCCAAGTTAATTCCAGGTGCAGCTAAAGCTTTGTTTCTGCCAACTCAATTGTGGAAGTCAACAGATCAGTAGAGCTACAATAGTTCTCACTGATGGTTCTTCAGTGAAAACCTTGAGAAGTACCCACATACAGACTAGTATCTTCAGGCTGTTCACAAGCCTGTCAAGCAGTCACCTCCACCTAAAGTGAAGAATCTTCCATTGCAATTTTCTGTCCCACAGACATTATTTGCAGCCACTAGATAGCCGCAATTCCTTCAAATTTATGCTTACTAAAAGAACCAAAGTCCTCATCCAATGCTGACTAGTAACAGATGCTTTGTATTAAAAACCTTAAGCTCTAATAGCATACTCTATATCAACTCAGAGAGGATCTGCATACACAGCAAGATTCAACACGAGACTCATTCCAGTCATTAAAAGTCTGGTGGTACTTAGTCCTTAATTTCACCTTAGATGTGCTCTTTATAAGTTACAGGCTTTCAGTGTATTTCAAGACAATTTAATATTACAACTTCAGGGTAACTTTATTTACCCATAGTAGCATAAACTCCACCTTACACTTACTTTTAAAACAGTTACTCTCTTGCTGTGCTGAAAAACCTTGTTAGCATAGTAATTTTATAGGAGTAACAGAAAGAAAATAACTTAAAAGCAGTTTTGCAGGATCTTTCCAAGACTGACCTTTTTGTTCATACATCAGGTGAGGTCTGAAAGCTGACTGAATCTTTTAGTTATAATTGAAAGTTAAATTTACAACTCACATAGTTAAAGTAGTAAAACATTGTTCTTCCTATTATACTGCAAAGGAAACTCTAAAGATTTGGCAAAGTTCCTATAAAAAAAGACAGGAGACTGATAATCTGATTTTTAGTTTTTATTTTTCAGAATGTATTAAAGAAAAAGCAGCACCTTTCATCAGTTCATTTAAGTTAGTTACCCAAAGACAAGTATCTAATTACCTGTTCTTCTGCCTACTAAAAGTGCTGTCTATTTCCTGGAAAGTTAACCTTCAAACTCAAAGGTCTTGTAGCAGCAAACAGCCAGTCAACCAAGTGACAAAGATATTACCTTCATTCTAACTCCCTTGTGACATGATAGACTGTGTCAGCTTTCATTATTGCACTTCCATGAACTTTAGTTTTAAATCAGGGACTGCTCTTTGCTCTGGTTCAGAGGTCCACCTTCTGTTTTAAAACATGTTTCTGGGCTGTATCAGAAGTTTGAAGCACTACCACTGGAAGTGCTTCGCTGTATGGCCAATACAATGATTCTTGCCACCTTCAGCAAGAATTCCTTGGTAAAGTTCATTTTAAAAATGCAACTTAGAGAGCAATTCTTAAGTCAAAATAACTAATTTTCTGCTGTTTTGCACCATATCAATACAAAGACCATTAACTATAAGAAAGTTAGACCTCTTAGTAGTCTGCAAGTAAATTACAGAAGTGTTCCCTTATGTTTTGACCTTGTTTCTTTCTCCTACTACTATGCAGGGACAACCAGGAGCAACAAAGATTAAGTTAGTAGAAAGAACCAAAGTATCTTGAAGAGCTAGGAAGATTTCAAGCAGACTATCAGAAGTCAATATAGCTTCTGAAATCCCTTTGAGAGACTACAGGAGGGCTCAAGAATATTGCTCCTTCACACAAAACTTCTGCTCTCCCAGCTAGTATCATCTTCATTACATAACATCAATCCTACTAGGTTGCTTAAAACAATGCTTTTTTACACACTCCCTCACTTCTCATGCTGAGAAGTCACAAGCTACTTCGGAAAACCTGAGTGTTTCTTCCCCAAATATGTTATTCTCACATCTTAAAAAATGTCTTGAAAAATTTTTTCATCAAGACTTCAAAAACAGACATCTTGCTTTCCCCAGTGAAAGTTAAGGAATATGAAACAGTAGTGAATTTCACGTCATCATCACATTTGCTTGAAGCAGGACAGTTGAAGCAGGTCATCACCGTAAGTGTCAATACTATTAACAGACTTCTAATTTATATTCTGGCACATTGCTTCTCAAAAATCATACTTGTTATGCATCACATTAACACCTCTGTAAAAAACTGAAAACCAACTTTTTCTACATTTAGTAACAGCTTTCTCAGTGAATTGCAATACAGGCAGTAAAGTAATCCTCAATATTCTTAAACAGCAGTTAAACCACAGCCTCCCAAGTTCTTGCTACAGTTAAAAGTGACTTAGCTTGAAGGGCAGTGACGTAAGTGTACCAATTATTCATACTATGAATTGCCAACATAGCTAGAGGAGGCAAGTAAGATCTATATAGTTATCACTACATTTTCAGGAGAGACAAGAAAATAATGTTCAGCCAAAACTAGTCCTTAAGTACAAAAGTAGACTTCAGTTCTGCTCATTCATCAAAAAACATGCCAAGATCAAACGCTTTTATAAGAGGGTACGAGTAGAAAAAACTGAATAGCATTACAAGACAGGAAGAGTTATTTAACTTATTCCTTCTCAGCTTTCCTTTCACTCTACTGCTGCAACAGCAGCAGGGGACTAAGACCTAATGATGCAAGAGGGGCATTAAGTTCTGTTTTTACACAGGAATGATGGAGACTGATTAATATTAAGCCACCTATTAGTGTTAACTTCAATGTAGCTCTAGTTACAAAAATGTGCATCAATTCCTCAAATTAAGAAAATAAAAGAAAAATATTTTTTAAGCCATCTTTAAATCTCTACCACCATCTGGAGGATATGCTATGAAATAAAACAGCCCTGCAGTCCTGCAATATTCAAAGTAGACCAAAGTAGGCCAAAACCAAAAGCAACTCTTCGGGTTTAAGCTCAAACCTATTCCACAAATTAGTTCATGATTTACCAAGAGACATCTTGCTTTAAAAAGGGACTCAGCCCAAAACATCTTATGGAAATTCATCCATCAGTCTCACAAATCTGTAAAAAAAGCTCCACAGAAGAGTTTGAAGACTGCAGCATATTAGGAGTTGTGAAATGCTTAGGATGTGAAATAGGTTCTTAACAACCTAATAAGAGCAGAAAGCAAATACAAAGCAGTTTCACTACTCTATAGTGAAGAATCTTTGTGAAAGACAAATTAGTATTTAAAATCTGAACATTTAAACCACAAGCTTTGCACTCAAAGTTGCATGAACTTTATACACAATAAGCCAGTTTCGCACTGTATAAGTTTAAGTGCCATAAAAATTGCAGCAAAACCATGTGTTTCCCTTAACAGACCTCTAAAAACACACACAGAACAAGAAGTTTATATCACAGAAGCCATTAGCCTTTTCATGGATTGGCCATCAGTATGTTTGTATTTTTAGGGAACTACTGAGTCTATTAACATTTAAACAGAAGAATAATCCAGTATGATCCCTAAAACCTTCATAACTTCAAAGGTCCTATTCACTGAGAAAATTAAAAAGTTAAAAATACTTACTGTAATATCCATAAAGTACGGTGTCTTCAATTTGCCTTGAAACATTAGCATCAGCCCAGTCCTAGTAAAAAAGGACAGAATCCTTCATTATCATGCACTATATTGTCAACACACAACTGAAATAAAATTATCAGTGCATATAATTTTAACAACTAACGATTAAGTACATGTACTTTTGTTCTGTAGCTGGCATTTAAACGGCACTCTAAACATATTTTTATGAAACTACTTCTAAAAATTACTGGCTACAGAGTGCTAGCAAAGATGCAAATGACTGATCAGAAAGGAATAAGCACAGGACAGTTTCATAAATGGAAGATTTTACAGAAAAAACAGAGTAGCTTTGGCAGCTCTTACGTGTTAATTCCCACAGTATCTTGATAATAGGGTCTCTCAAGATCATCCTAGAACAGTTAGATTTGAAGGGATCTTTAAAGATCATCTAGTTCCAACCCCCTTGATACGTGCAAGGACACCTTCCACTAGACCACATTGCTCAAAGTTCCATCCAACCTGCCCTTGAGCCGTTCAGGGATGGGACATTCACAACTCCTCTGGGTAAACTGCTCAAGTTTCACCACCCTCATAACAAAATTTCTTATGTCCAATCTAAATCTACGCTCTTTCAAATTGTTGCACCTTGGCCTGTCACTACAGGCCTAGGTGAAAAAGGTTTCTTCACCTTTTTTATAAACCCTCTTTGTGTACTGAAAGGCTGGACTAAAGTCTCCCTGAAGCCTTCCCTTCTCCCAGCTGATCAAGCCAAACTCTCTCAGCCTGTCTTTATAGAAGAGGTGTTCCACCTTCTGACCGTTTTTGTGGTCCTGCTCTAACAGTTCCATGTCTGCCTTGTGTGCCACACAGGTCACAGTATGCAGTGCTCCCAACATTTCTAACACAGAATACTTATGACTACAACATAGACACAAACGGCAAATAGCTTTTTATTGTGCTCAATTGTAGCTTAAAAGTTTGGTTTTTTATTAGTTAATCACACAGTTTAAGCCATCATTCCCTTTTTCAGAAATATGAGTCTTTAACTTTTCATTTGACCAAGACTTGAATGACATGAATATTCAAGTTAGCCTACTGTGTTCTGAAGCCAACCTAGGTATAAGAAAAAATTAGTCAGATTGCTGGATACCATGCACACTACTAAAGCTTAAGACACTAATTGCATGCCAGTCTTGACTTTCTGACCTAAGCACTGAAGCTCTTTACATAATGACAAAGAGCAAACTGTATTCCTGAAGTTCCTATCAAAAGAGTCATATGCTGATCAAGAAGCCATAAATCTTAAAAGAAATCAGTGGAGTAATATATCTCAAATCTTACCATAGAACTACAGAACACACATCCATGCATGTTACAATTTTGATCCTACAACTCTCCAAATGTAACAGAAGTGATATTGCTTTTTTGAACAATAACAAAAACCAATCTTTTTCAGAACTGCACTACCAGCCCTGGGAAACTGAACTGAATTCCACTTCCATTCAGAGAATGGAAGATACAACTCTGGCTCCATCAGTAATCACACACAGTCAGAAGGCTTATGTCTTAAGTTCTTGCCCCACCCCTTTTTTCTTCTCCTTGAGAGGAACTATTAGTTTAAGGAAGGGAAATGTTTTGTAACATGGTATTTGGCAGTCTGCCTCAACTCTCATGGAATATTGGCTTAATGGCATACCATAAACGTCATTTTTCTATTAACTCAGAAAATCAGCATCACCTTCATGTTTAATATATTACAGATTTCCAGTAGGCCACTTTACATTAAACTTTTAAGTTCACTGTTTGGAATGAATTAAATTATCAGCCAACTGGAATTTCAGAAGAAAATTATACATTTATTTTGTCATCTAATCTGCAAAAAACAAAGGATGCAAAAGTATTTTGGTAGAAGGGAAAGAAGCAACAGCTTAAGTTTCTTTCAGGTACATGGTAAGCCAAATCTTCGAAGACTGTCAGGCTCAAGCCCAATAGCATTTCAATTGAAAAATTTCTAGTCATTTGTATATAAAAGCATCATGAACGAATTTGATTATAGTAAGTTAAGACATCCAAAGAATATTAAAGTGTTTAAATTGCATAGCGATAGAAATTAAGGAAATACACTGCTTTAATTATGCCCAAGGGAAAAACAAGACTGAACTGAACAGGTGGCACTATTTACATCTAAGTATTTCATACAGGTCTCTCCTATGAGCAATGGAGACATTTCAAAACCCATACCAGCCAAGAATAAGCAAAAAAAGCAACAGTAAGACAAAGTTTAAGTGGCACAGTCACTTTAGTCACTCCAACTCCAGAAAAGCACCGATAATAGGACATTGTAATTGCTTCTCATTTAGTTGCTAAAGTTGTGTACAGGACCAGAGTAATATACTAGAAAACATACATTACAGCATATTAAAATATCAAGATGTTATCTTACTGGAAAGATGCAAGAACTCAAAGATGTGCACACCTCATAATTGTGCGCATGTGCCTGAACTTACAAACTTTGCATTACTCTGTACAAGACTAATTGGTAACGTGAGCCAATTTAATAGTACATCATATCTGTTCCGTCAGCTGTCACTCAGCCACTGAAGGCACACATTTAAACAAACTAAGAACGTAAAAATCCTGTCTCTTACTGGCAAATTATCCATATGCACGTCAGCAGTAGCTTAAGAGCAGCTACCAGTTCATGAGCGTGTTTCAAATGCTAGTGACAGCAGCACTGTCTTGTCAAAAGCAAGAAGCACTGCTACCTAGTGAGTGCCAGAGCTCTGATATGCTCAGCAGCAGTGCTAATATATCAAGTTTTACTGGAAGAGCTCATCCAGAACTCAGCTGAGAACTCATCTGGACAGCTCCTAACGTAGTCTCTTTTCTTCTCCATCCATTATGGCCCAAGCTTACAGTATATACAGCAAATACCTCAGAAGCACAATAGCTTACAAAGGTGAAAATTCATTACTACCTTCAAAAGCAGTTTAAGATGTGAAAACATGACCACAAATTCTCTTAAGATCTGCAGTAAAAATGCATTCTGCACTCTTCTGCTGTACTTCATTCTGTTTCATGCAGTTTAGGGACCACACATCATGTCACCTTTAAAATACTTGTAACAATGCAGTGTTTTGATGGATAAGGGAATCATCAAATTGCAAGGACATGCTACAAGTATAATAGCATACATTATGCTGCTACTCTTAGGTATTCTTTTAACAGAAGTTATGTTGATGGGTTCAGGAAATTTAAAAGCAGTTACAAGAATAAGAAGTAAATAGATTAATAAAATGTTGCTATGTAAATAAGGATACCAAAAAAGGCAGTTTAAGACATTTCCATTTACCTAAAAGCTAAAACCAAAGTAGAGCTCACTCTATTTTTGTAATTACATTACAGAAGATCAATTATGGAAAACGCTCCCCCCCCAGTAATCATTGAGCAGACTTCCTTCTCCCAGCAACAATATGCAGTTAGTGACTTATGTTAACATATTTCAAACAGTACTATGCAAACAGTTCAGGTACCTTCCCCAAATAAATGCAGTACAAGTTAAACTGATTATTTTTTTTTAACCCTTTTTGGGGAGGGAATGGACATGAATTTCATTATTTTGTCCCTGTTAAAGGGCATGTTTCTACTGTCACTGCTGGGCCCTGAAAGAATTTGAGTAGGCAGTGAAGATAGCTCCCTTTCTCAGCAAATGTACTTTAAAAGAGCTTTAAGTGGTGTAATACTCCAGATTTCAGTATTTGTGATGTTTCATCAGAGGTAGATGAAGCCATCAGTCTGCTGATTAGCCCCTCCCAAAGTTTAGCCAACAAAAGGAAGATACAATATCTAAAACTGAAGAGTGACTCATAGCATGGTTAGATAAAATGAAATTCCATATCCAGGTCTCAGAAGATCTTCCAGCCTGCTATCCCCAAAATAGGACAGTGCCAGGATTTTGACTGTCAGATGGAGAGCGACATCTAGAAACATGCACATCTCAGCCACATCTGGCTACTGTGAATATTCTGGCCTAGTATTGTTACTTCACAGTTAGCAATTCCTACTCAGGACAGGAAGCAAAGTCTCAGTCGATAATGATTTCTCAGCTAACACCCTTCCAGAATAAAACAAAAAATAAAAAAAATCTGACATTTCTAGTGGCTCTGTATCCTGAGAAGCTAGCTACATAACAAGCTACTCCCAAGATGCAAAAAGGATGTCTCATTAAACAGAAGCTACTCCTTGAATCATTAAGGAGACAACTGGCTTTTAAACAGCTCAGGCAGACCCTCAAGATTTGTGAGGTGTTCAGTCTAAGCAGGCCAAAAGAATGGCTTTTAACTCCATATAGCAGCAAGAATCCATACATTTCAAAAAGATAAGTGCACATTACCTCCCCTGCCTTCTGCTGCGTTAACAATAGAGTAAAAATGACAGCATAGTGACAATAACATCCTTGTTTCAAGTACTATTCCTGCT